GCCTTTCTCCTGCCAGGTTAGTTCCTCAACAGCTCACCTGATAGCTCCGGGTGATGGCTGGATCCAAGGTGGTGCCCTGAGGTCACAGGGCTTTGGTAGGGGTTGAGATGTGTGGTTGTGGAGCTGCAAGGGGGGTGGGGGAAGGTGAGGAAAGCAAGGAACTAGGGGGTAATGAGTGCAGGGCTTGGATACTATCACCAAGAGGTGGGGGCGTGGCTTGGGCGCTGCTGGGGGTTTATGCAGCAGCACCCTGTGTGTTAAGGGTCACACAGGTGTGGGTTGCAGGGGGGTCACGCAGTGTTGGGTTGTCTTCGTTCCTCTGGGGTCTCACAGTCTTCACTCCTCTGGAGTTCCGTGGTAGGTGGCTAGCTGTTGTTCTTCCCGGGTCTCTTCCAGGCCCCTCTCGCGGTGGAACCTCATCTGGCGGCGGCGTTCTCCTGTCTGGCGGCGGCCTGTCTGGCAGTGGCGTTCTCCCGTCTGGTGGCAGCATTCTCCCCTAATTGTCTAATTAATTTTAATGAAAGTTTACAGAGAGTTAAGTTTTCCAGTCATTCATTGTTGCACTTTTCTTCCGATCCACCCCCTCAATTCACTCTTCTCCTTGAAAAGGAAGAAAAACTCTTTCATGGTTATTCAGTCCCTCCCTCCACATCCCCCCCCTCAAGTCCACTCTACTATGTAGCCTTCACTCTGGACTTTGGTAATTATAAGAATAACCATTCATATATCTCTTTTAAAGAGTTCTCTCCCTCATCTGTTTTAATGCAATATACATCATTCCTCTCCTCCTTTTCTGTCTTTCCTCAACACTGATGTCAGTCCCATTTTACAACAGTAGCCCTGTGAAATATTTGTTCTTTTGTGACTGAGATATTATACTCAGCATAATGTCCTTCAGGGTCATCCAGTTTGCATAATATTTCTTGAGTTCCTTGTTTTTCAATGCTGCATAGTATTCCATTGTGTGACTATACCAGAACTTCTCTATCCATTCGTTTGGTGATGGGCACTTAGGTTGTTTTCCGGTCTATGCTACAGTGAACAAAGCCACAATAAACATGGGTGTGCATATATATGGTTGGGTGGAAGCTATGGTTTTTTTAGGGTAAATTCCCAGTAGTGGAATTGCTGGGTCAAATGGTATCTCTATTTGCAACTTTTTGAGAAAGTGTCATACAGCCTTCCATAGTGGTTGTACCATTTTATACTCCCATCATCAGTGAATAAGGGTTCCAGTTTCTCCACAACCTCACCAACATTTGTTGTTTGCTCTTCTGTTAAATTTTGCCATTGTTACTGGTGTGAGATGATATCTCATACTTGTTTTGATTTGAATCTCTCTTAGATATAGGGATTTTGAACATTTCTTCTTGTGTTTGTATGCCATGTGAATGTCTTCTTTGGTGAAGTGTCTATATCCTGTGCCCATTTTTAAATGCGATTATTTACCTTTATCTTGTTGTGGTGCTTGAATATTTTATAAATTCTAAATATAAGTGCCTTGTCTGACATGTCACTACCAAATATTTTTCCCCAAGCTGTGGCTTCCCTTTTTACCCTGTTGGAGAAGTTTTTGGACGGTTTTTAGAAGGTCCCATTCATCTATTTTATCCTCTGCTGGTTGTATATTTTTCAGGATGCTAGGAAGACTGTTTATGTTGTGGATTATGACTTCTAGAGTTCTTCCAAACTTTTATTTAATGAAGTTTATAGTCCTTGGTTTTAGTCCTAGGTCCATAATCCACTTTGAGTTGGTTTTTGTGTCTGCAGTGAGGTGTGGATCTTGCTTGAGTTTTCTACAGATAGTTTTCCAATTTTGCCAGCACCAGTTGTTAAAAGGCTGTTGTTTGCACACTTAACTGATTTCATCTCCTTGTCAAAAACCAGTTGACCATAGGTAGATAGGCTGAATTCTGGGTTCTCGATTCTGTTCCATTGATCTATGTGTCTCGTTGTACCAATACCACGCTGTCCTGACCACCATGGCAATGTAGTAGGGTTTGAAATCAGGGAGTGAGGTGCCACCTACCTTGTTTTTCTTTTTAAGGAGTGCTTTGCTTATTCTGGGCCTCTTTCCATTCCAAATGAAATTGGTGATTGCCCTTTTCCATCTCGTTGAAGAATGGAATTGGTATTTATGTTGGGATTGCATTGAACATGTAAATTGCCTTTGGTAGTATTGTCATTTTCACAATATTGAGTCTTCCTATCCCTGAGCAAGGACCTTAAGGAAGTTTTGAGAAGTGGACCACCTTTACAAGAAATTGTAAAGGAAGTCCTCACACAAAAACAACAAAGGAAAGTGGGTGGACCACACCTTAGTAGCAATAACAGAAAAAGGAACACAGAAAAATGCCAACCATAGAAACTGATCTGTATGGTACATATATTCTGGAAGGCAGTTTAGCGCTTCCTCAAAAACCTGAACATAGAAATTCTATATGACCCAGCTATTCCACTACTTGGAATATACCCTGAGAAAATGAGAACTGAGGCACAAACAGATTTGTACACCAGTGTTCATAACAGCATTATTCACCATCAGAAGAACATGGAAATAGCCCAAGTGTTCAACCACAAACAAATGGATTGAGAAATTATGCTACATTCACACAATGGAATACTATGCAGCACGCAGGAGCAATGATTTTATAAATTATTACCTCACTTGGGAGGAACTGGAGAGCATTATATTGAATGAACTAACTCAGTCCCACAAGGACAAATGTTGTATAAAACCATTATTGTAGAATGAGTATAAGGATCCAAGTGGAGTGGGAAAGGTTGGAAGCAGAGGAATGTAGATGTGCTGGGGGTGGGGGGTATTAATCATGGGGTTGTACAATTTGAAGGGGGGGGTGAGGGAAATGGAATGTATTCGAATTTTTTAAATAAACTAGTAGAAAATAAGAAAAACTGGGTCTGTCAATAGTCACACTCAATGTGAATGGCTTAAATGATTAAGAGAGAAAAAATAGCAGAATGAGTAAAAAAAAAGGATAATATGTTGCCTATTTGAAACACATCTAAGAAGCAAGGAGAAAGGCTAAAAATCAAAGGGTAGAAAAGAATATCCTATGCAAATGGCTTTCATAAAAAAACAAGAGTGACAATACTAATCTCTGATGAAATAGAACTCAGCAGGAAAACAAACATAATATTTAAGGCATCACCAAAAACTCCATTTGCCACTGAGTAAGCTCAAATCTGTGGTTACTCTGCATGTGTCAGGATGGAACAGTGCTGTTAGAGTTTCAGTGGCTGCTTTTATGAAAGTAAGTTACAGGAATTATCTTCTGAGGTGCCTCTGAGTGGACTAAAAACTCCAGTCTTTGATTAACAGCCAAGCATGTTAAATGTTTGTACCATCCAGGAAACATAGTAGTAAAAAAAATTCTAGTGAATGGTTAAACTATGAAGATCTCAAGTTGACAGCTCAAATCCGTGTCTAGCAACTTCTTAGAGACCAGCTGTGGCTCAACTCCGGAGGACTTTCAGCCATTCTGGGTTCAAACGTCCACTGATGGAAGGGTCCAAAGACCCATGGTGGTGTGGTTTAAAGAGAAAAACTTATTGTTTGAAGAATCAAGTATTGAGAACTTTCCCCCTGAATGTTTTGTTTGTTGAAGCCTATTCAGAAGTGGTTTAAGTAGAATTCTAACTTGGGCCTGTGGGAGTTTTCTCTGAGTTCTAACTCTTGGCCTATGAGTGATGAAAGCTTCCTTTTTTCTCAGCTCCTTTCCTTGCCTGTCATACTTCTGGCTGCTCTTATACATTGGTCTTTGTTTTGCTGTTCTCAATTAAATTCCTGACATGTTTCCTCCACGAGATTTGACCTTTTCTTGACTCTCTGTGTTTCAGACCCAGAAAAAGTTTGGCGTGGTGGTAGTTGGCATTGGCAGAGCTGGTTCTGTGCGGATGAGGGACCTACGTGATTCTCATGCTTCCTCAGCATTCCTGAATCTGATTGGCTTTGTGTCCAGGTAGGCTGACTTGCTTTGTGCCTCATAGAGTTAAGGGAAGCCAGTGGGACCTTGTTTTCCCCATGTCCAGGGAGGAGAGGAAGATTCAGCCTTATTGCTGCAGAACTCTACAACAGTGGATATTTAGTGGGTAATTATAGTCATTCTCACAAGACCTCAGACTTGGGTAAGACTACAACTGATGAGGGTTAGGACAGAGGTTGAGTTGTGCAGAGTCCACCTATGAGCCTGCAAAGGCATAGGAGGAGAAAATAAGCACAAGCTCTCACAAAACAGATGTTGGGTGGGTTGGTCTGGAGTGAGGCAGTAAAAATAACATCCTTTTTCCATGGAAAAATCAAAAGGTGGGGGAAAATATACCAAGCAAATGGCAACAACAACAAAAAAGCAGGAGTAGCAATACTAATCTCTGATAAAAGAAACTTCAGGGTAAAAACCAGTATAAATGACAAGGAGGGATACTATCTAATGCTTAAAAGGTCAGTGGACCAAGAGGACCTAACCATAATAAATATCTATCTATACACCACATGACAGAGCTGAAAAGTACACAAAACAGATATTAACAGCTTTGAAAAAAAGAAATAGACAACACCCTAATGGTAGTGGGAGACTTTAGTACACTACTTTCAACAAAAGATAGGATGACTGGAAAGAAACTCAACAAATATGTGGAAGAACTAAACTATACCATTAGCTAACTCAACCTCATAAGCGGGTAATGTATACAGGGTAATGTATATATTCTTCTGTATATGGAACATACTCCAGAATATATCATATTTTGTTAGGTCAAAAAGCACACCTTAATAAATTAAACTGAAATACTACAAAGCATTTTCTCAGACCACAATGCCGTAAAATTAGAAATTAACAGCAAGAGGATAAAGAAGGAAAACCATGCACTTGGAAGCTAAATAACTCTTAGCTTAAACACTGTTGTGTAATAGAAAAACTAAAATATGAAATTTAAAAAAATTCTTGAAACAATGAGAATTAAAACACAACTTACCAAAATCTCTGGTATATAACCTCAACAAGAAAACAGTAAATAAGCTCAGTGAAATATCTCAGTCACAAAAGGACAAATACTGCATGGTGCCACTGTTGTAGAATGGGACTGATGTCAGGGTTGGGGTAAGACTGAGAAAAACTGGATAAATCATGTATACTGCATTAAAACAGATGAGGGAGAGAATAATTTAAAAGCGATATATGATAGGGTATTATAGTTATCACAAGAGTCCTGAATTAAGGGTGCATAGTGGAGTGTACCTGGGGTGGTGGGAGGGGTGTGGGGGGATTGTATACCAAAGAAAGAATTTTTCTCTTACTTTTTCAAAGAGAGGAGCAAACTGGGGGGGGGTGGGTGTGGGGGGAAGGGCAGAGCAGGGAGAAGAATGCAACAAAGAATGAATGGAAATTCAAAATTTCTGTAAATGTTCATTTAAATTATTAAAATAAAATTAAATAAAAGAAAACAGTAAGCCAATTGCAAGATAGGCACAAGATATTAATAGATAATTTATCAAGGAAGACATGTAGATGGCAAACAAATACATGAAGAAATGGTCAAAATCCATAGCTATTAGAGAGATACAAGTAAAAACAAATATGACATATCATCTTACCTCAGTAACAGTAGCAAAGTTCAACAGAGCAGCAAATGATAAATGCTGGTGATGTTGTGGAGAGATTGGAATCCTTACTCACTGTGGTGGGAGTGTAAGGTGGTGCAGCCACTATCAAAGGCACTTTGGCACATTCTCAAAAAGTTGGAAAAAAAAAGTTGAAATAGAAATACCATTTGACCCAGCAAGAGTATATGCCCTAAAGAAACCATCACCACCATACAGACAGACAGATATATGCACATCTATGTTAATTGCTATGTTATTTATAAGAGCAAAGAGATGGAAGCAACCAAAGTGCACTTCAACAAATGAATGGATAGGAAAACTATGGTATCTCCACACAATGGAATACTACACAGCACTGAAAGACAGTACACTATGCTGAGTGAAATATCTCACTCACAAAATGACAAATATTGCATTAAAAAAAGGTCTGACGTGGGAGTTTGGGAGGAGAATAGGATAAGAGTGGCTAGGTAATGACCATTGCATTGGAGCAGATGAAGGAAAGAACTATTTAAAAGAAATATATGATTAGACATTAAACATACAACAACAATCCAGAATAAGAGTTATATCATTCTAAAGAGGACTACAAGGAGGGGGAGACTGAGGTAATTATGCAGCAATGAATGTTTTTTTTTAAATTAACTGTGAAAGGAGGAAGAGAGAGAGGGAGTAAAATGTGCAACAGTGCATGAATGGAAATCTAACTTCTCTGTAAATGTTAGTTAACATCATAATGAAAATGAAATGTTATTTTAAAAAAACCAAAAATCTCTGGGATACAGCAAAAGCAGTGCATTGAAGTCAATTCATAACAATAAGCAAACACATTAAATGGAAAGAAAGAATGAAAACTATTAAACCCAACACCAACAGTCAGTGGAAAAAGAACAGCAAGAAAACCCCACAACCTCTAAAAGAAAGAATATTCTAAAATTAAGAGTGAAAATAAATGACATATAAAACAGAAAAACAATTGAAACTATCAAAAAGACCAAGAAGTTTGTTCTTTTACTTGCTGGACAATTGAGGGAAGAACTGGCTTGGGACTGTTATTTACTGAACCTAGATTTTGTCTTTGTAATATTCTTTGCCTCTTCCTGCAACAACCTGTTTCCCTAATAAACCTCACAACAGTGAGTATAAAAAGGTCTTTTGAAGTCTGTATGGTCATTTGTAACGAATTTCTGACCTAGTAATTAGTAGAAATAGGTGCAATAGAATGTTCTTGATGGGGATAATTTCTGTGGTGCCAAATGTTTAATTTTCAAAATATCTTTCTTAGCCATTAATTGATTATTTTGTACTGAAGTATTACTGTTTTGGGTATTAGGGTATAAAACAAACTCCACCCCACTAGAGGTTTATATAACCTATGAAAGCTCAATGCTAGCTCTCTTTTGGGGATTGCTTTCCAGCTTCCCGGTCTACAGTGCTCAGTAGTCTCTGCAACACTGGCTTGCATCACCTACAGTCTTATGAGTCACTCTTCTGGTGGGTCTGAATCTCTGTGAGTCCATCCAGCAAACTACCAAACCCAAGGAACATAGAGGAATGCGGGGACTGAACACAAGAGATAATACCGGAACTCATGAATTTATGTAATACATCAAACATTTTGGGCAATGTTTATGACCCACTCTTTGTAATTGGTCTGCTGCTAATCTTAGGAGAACAAATTATGAATATAATTAGTATAATTGTGGAATTAGTAAAGTCTAGACTTAGTCATCTCCACAATGTGCTTGTTCCTATTGCTGTTGTTGTTATGTGCCGTCGAGTTGCTTGTGACTCATAGTGACCCTATGTACAACAGCCCTAAACTCTGCTCTGTCTTGTGCCAATCGCACCGTCTCTGACACATCCATCCCGATTACCCCACTCACTGAATCAGTCCACCTCATTGGGGGCCTTCCCCTTCTGCGCTGGCCCTCCACGCTACCAAGCATGATGTCCCTCTCCAAGGACCTGTCCCTCCTTGCAACATGTCCAAAGTTTGTTAGATGGAGCCTCAGAATCCTTGCCTTCAAGGAGCACCACTGTTGGAACCCTCCCAGGACGAATATGTTTGTTTTCCTAGCAGTCCATGATACCCTCAATACTCTTCTCCAGCACCAAAGCTCAAAGGCATCAAGTCTCCTTCTATTCTCCATAGTCATTGTCCAACTCTGATGCCTAACAAGTGATAGCAGAGACCATGGCCTGTATCAGACGCACCTTGGTCTCCAAAGAGACATCATTGCTCTTCAGTACTTTGGAGGGGTCCCTAACAGCAGACTTTCCCATGGCAATACTTCTTCTAATTTTCTGGCTGCTGGTGCCGAGAGTATTGACTGTGGAGCCAAGCAAACTGAAGCTGTGGACAATCTCAATCTCTTCACCATCCATCCTGATGCTGCCGGTTGGCCCAGTGCTGAGAATCTTTGTCTTCTTGACATTGAGCCTCAATCCATATTGGAGGCTGCAGTAATTGACCCTCTGCAGTGAGCTCTTCAGGTCCTCCTCAGTTTCAGCAAGCAGGGTTGTATCATCTGCATATCGCAGATTGTTGATAGATCTTCCACCAATCTTGACCCCACATTT